AAAAAAAAAAAAAAAAGAGAAAAAAGACTGTGATAATAGATTGCAAAACAGTTAAGAATTAGAGTTTTCTCTTTTTTTACTAGAAGGTTTTATCTCCGGTGAATAGGAAGGCCTGGGATCTCACCCTGCTCTGCCTAGAGGGATGAAGTAGGGAGAAGTAATTTAGATTTGGGGCTGGAAAGTGGGTTGTCCAGTTCAGGAGGTGGCACGAGGCTGGAGGGGGTAGGCAGGCTCTGGCAACCCCTTTCAACAGAGTTTGGATTTGGACAAGAGGGCAAATCCAGACTGGGAACTCTTAAACTGGAGAGTGACAGATCAGAGCGGGATTTTCATAAGTTCCTCTGGATGAAAAGGTTGGAAAGGGCCAGATGGGAGGTGGAACAGGGCTGGAGGGAAGTGGTGTGATGAGAGCTGCTAGCCGATGCAGGAAGACTAATGGCTGCGATTCTGGCCCAGGCAGCCAGGAGGCCCGCATAGATGGTGTCCTTCCTCATCTCAGCAGCTTGTGTTAACCTACTGCTTGTTACTGCCTTACGCTCCAGGGCTCCTGGCCCCTAGGCCTCTAGAGCACACAGAGCCACGGGAGCCCTGAGGACCAGACGGGGACATTCTCTGCACCCTTCCTGCAAGAGGGGCTCCAAACCAACGGCTCCTGTATCCATAACAACTGCACACCTCAGTTCCTCGGGCGTTTCCATTTCAAATGCTCTGTCCCTTTGTTTGCACAGGTCCTGGTGTCCTATTCCGTGCTCCCATTTTTAGTGGGAGAACAGGAGAATGTCCGTGTTATCCTGTACGCAGGTCAGGGGCTGGGCGGCCGCGATTCCCTCTCGGACTCGGAATCCTGCGGGGGTAGAAGGCGGCGTCCAGCGCGACATGCAGAGGTTAGGGCAGAAGGCGACCTGTACGTGCATCTGATCTTCCGTGCGGCAGTCCTAGTTCACTGGACTCCAGGCGGATGCAGGTGTGGCCGCGGGGGGCCCTTCGCACCAAGAGACAGGAATAATCCACCCGCCCGCAGGGCAGGGTCGTCCGAAAGTCCGGGCCTCTGAGCCTTTGAAAGCCGGGTTCCTGGTCTTCAAAGTGGGCAGCGTCAGTGCTTCGCTCGGGACTCCTTGGAAGACACCCTGCCCAACAGGTGCCGTCCAGGTGTGCGCCGGACGTGCAGCGTGCCGCGTGCGGGCGTGCTCCGTTCCTGCAAATACAAGGGGCATGCTGGCACTTTTCTATAGGTGTTATCACGCTTCTATCCTTAAAAAGTGCAGGGGATTGGAAGGGCCTATTCCAGCCCTTCTGGGTTCAACGCTTTTAAGAAAAGCGCGCCGCACACTGTCCCTTTAAGGCGTTGGGGGCTGCGTAAGGTATTATGACCCTTGCTGTCGCCCGTAGCGTCCTTGCAAGAGGCCGGCTTTGTGTGCTCGCCCCGCCTCCGGACACCGCCCCTCCCCTCGCGCATGCGCTCTGACGTATCCCCACGCCGCCTGGCGCCCGCCCGAGAGCCGCCTAGCCGAACACGGTCCGCGCTCCCGCCTAGTAGGCGGTCGACACGACGCCCCGAGCGCCCGGCCCAGCCGCCGCGGCCCGGCAGGTAAGCGGGTGGCTGCCCGGCCTGACGGGCACGAGGCGGACGGCAGGGCAACCCCCGGGCGCCCACACACTACCGCTGGCCGTTGCACGTGTTCCTCGCCGGGCCTCGGGTAGGGCCCAGCCCCGGGCGCTGCCCCAGCCGCAGCGGCCCCGCCCGGTACGCCCGGTCTGCCCTCTGCGCGAGGCGGGCCCCGTCCTCCGAGACGCTCCTTGTGCGAGCTGCCGGGCCGAGGCCCCCTCCCCTGCGCTTCTCCCGGGTTCTTCCCTCGTTCTTCTCCACGGCGAGCCCCACTCGCGTTCTCTGGGTTTCCTCTTTCCCGCCGGTCTGCTGACAGGACCGGAACCCAGGGTTTGGGCCAGGATCGAGACTTTTCCCGCAGTCGACGTGTTCTTCCTGTCGCATCCTTTTCGTCCATTCCAGGGACAGCCCGGCCCCCCGAGAGCACCGCAGCTCCTGGACGCGGCGCGCTCCCCTCCAGCGGCAGCGCCCCCAGCCCGATCCCGCTGTCCACACGGCATCCTCGCTGGGCGGGTCCCTCTCTTGGGCAGTCTCTCCGGGGTGGGAGTCCTCTGTCACCAAGGGAGCTCGCTGTCCCTCCTTGTGCATGCTTCAGGCCACTCCTGGTCGCATCTGCAGAGCCATTTTGGGTGATGTTAGCAGACATTCCTGATTAGCTTTCTGCGAGTTTCTATCCCCCAGGCCCATATACTTATCACCTCAAAGGCTTTCTTGAGGGTTGACTCCGGCTGTTGGTAAAGCAGGGCTCAGTGTGTCCAAGAATTGAGTTGAGGAGAGTAATGCTCCTCAACTCTGTTGCACGGGTCACCTGAGAGTCACCTGGTGCCTGTTTAAAATGAGTTTCGTTTCCTATTGTTGCACACTGTGGACTCAAGCGTCTGGGTGGAGCCCAGGATTCTGCATTTGACATACTGTCGGGAAAAGCATGCTGAAGTTTGGTTGCTTGGCTTCAGGTGGTCAGGCTCAACCTGGACAAAAAGCTGTAGCTGCTAAGAGGGCCAGGCAGCACCTGCTCCAGAGGCCACCTGCCTTGCCGGTACCTTCCTTCCATCAAGTCCCTAACCTGCTGATCTTTTGCCTCAAATGACTGCTCCATGGAAACACCTGAGTTTTAAGGAAAATGCCAAGCCTTGGACCCCACCTAAATGATTAGAAACTTAATTTCTTGTGTCAAGAAATCATACTTTTGAAAGTCAAGCCTTTTTTTTTTTTGAGACAATCTCACTTGTCACCCTTAGTAGAGTTCTGTGGTGTCATAGCTCACAGCAACCTCAGACTCTTGAGCTCAAGTTATTTTCTTGCCTCTGCCTCCAGAGTAGCTGGTACTATAGGCACCCACCACAACGCCCAGCTATTTTTGGAGCCGGGGTCTTGCTCTTGCTCAGGCAATCCACCTGCCTCGGCCTCCCAGAGTGCTAGGTGAGCCACCCACCCTGCCAAGCTGCCTTTTTTTTTTTTCCTAAGAGACAGAGTCTCACTCACCCTCGGTAGAGTGCCATGGTGTCACAGCTCATAGCAACCTCCAGCTCTTGGGCTTAGGCGATTCTCCTGCCTCAGCATCCTGAGTACCTGGGGCTATAGGCACCTGCCACAATGCCTGACTGTTTTTTTGTTGCAGTTTGGCTGGGGCTGGGTTCGAACCCACCACCCTCAATATATGGGACCTGTGCCCTACTCACTGAGCCACAGGCACCACTTAGCCCAGCCAGCTGCCTTTTTAAAAGATGTTAATGTTTTTTGAGCCCAAGGAGTTGGGTGGGTTGGACACCTTCTCTGTAAGGCCACCTATCTGCTTTCCTCACCTTGGGCACCCAGGTGTTTGCAGCAGTCATCATTTACCTTCAGGTGAGCCTGACCTCTTGTAAGTTCAGGTCAGCTGAGCTGCCTCTTGCAGTCCTGTGAGTGAAGAGACCAGCTCCTCCACCATTGATGTTTGCAAGCATGTCTCATTGGCTCTCCTTTTCAGCAGTGCTGTCCTTTGTTTCTGAATAATCGGGTGTGCTTTATGAGGTGCATTCAACTAATGGGGAGCTGTTCTTATGATAGAGAAAACTAGTCTCTTACTACATAGATTGGGTGGTTCCCCCTTGGTCAGCCAAGACTTAGCTGCAGGTCGATTTTCCTCCTCTACAGCATGGGCCTTGGCTCCTCTTGTGTATTATCAGTGCTAGACTCCCAGCTGTTTCCAGAAGATAGGGGCAGAGCTGGTACTGGTTTGCTCTTGCTGGTGTTTGTGGTACTTGCCTAGGCAAACTGTTACTGTTACCTGGTAGGAGCAGAGCAGGGGTCCTGGGGGCTTGAGCTCCTGTTTTCAAAGGTGATGGTTAACATAGTCACCTCACCTGGGTGCCTGTTAGGATTTTGACCTTCTGAACTTCTACACCCTGAAGTGTAGTCCCTTGTCATTTGGCATGTTGGTTTTCTGTCAGACTTTTTTTTTTTTTAATTGTGTTAAGGGCTCTTTGAAGAAAATTACATTTTATTTGCACATACTGTTTTGCACCACGTGAACATCTGGATGACCAGTAGAAAGCACCCTTGAGGCAAGAGAAGGGGAGTCTTTTTTTTGGAGACAGAGCCTCAAGCTGTCCCCCTGGGTAGAGTGCTGTGCCATCACAGCTCACAACAACCTCCAACTCCTGGGCCCAAGTGAGTCTCCTGCCTCAGCCTCCCAAGTAGCTGGGACCACAGGTGCCCGCCACAATGCCGGGCTATTTTTTGGTTGCAGCCGTCATTGTTGTTTGGCAGGCCCAGGCTAGATTCAAGTATATTTGGCTGGCACCGTAGCCACTTGAGCCACAGGTGCGGAGAAGGGGAGTCTTAATGGAGTAGTTGACAGTCCTTAACACGAAGTTAGGGTGATAAAGCTCCCAATTTGGAATAGTTGATTTGCTGCAGGGCTCACTATGGTGGTCAAATGTTTTCTTTACCCTTTTTTCTGGAAATCAATTTCTTTAAATATGGTATGTTTATTGGCCTAGGTTCCCACTCTAGGACGCCGTCAGCAGAGCACCCTTTCCACTGTGACTCCAGCCCCGTGCCCTGTGGGGCTGGCTTCAGTGCCATGGCGACAGAGGAGAAGAAGCCAGAGACCGAGGCTGTCAGAGCACAGCCAGCGCCTTCCTCATCAGCCACTCAAAGCAAGGTGCCTGCCCAGGGCCTCGTGGGGCACTTCCCAGGGGCAAACCTACTTAGGGATTCTTGGAAATATTAAGCCCTTAAGTTGACTCCCCTACTCAGTTAAATATTGATGCCGATTTGTATTCATTGGCCGCAGACCTTTGGAACACTTGTTCCATGCTCAAGCCGTTCACCCCGCCGGGGGAGGCTTCATCAGATACAGATTCTTGGTCCTAATTGTAAGAAACTGGCCCCCAGAAGCCATCTCTTCATAAACACTTTCGCCCTTGTCCCATGACACTGACATAGTCGGGCCTGCAGGTCTCTCCCATGTGCCTTTGAGTGGGGCCTTCAAGTGTGCTTTAGGGAGGTCAGACTTGGGGTGGGAGGAGGGGGTCCTGGGCCAGGCGGAGCTGGTGGGTGTCCCTGTGATAGAGCAGCGTTGGAAGTGGGATTGAGGTAGGGTGGTTCCTTGAAGGGGCCTTAGACACCGATGCTGGGAACTGAGGTGGGAACTATAGGAGAAGCGAGGGTTTTGAAGGGGAAATGATGGGCTCAGGTTTAGAGATTTTTTTTTTTTGACACAGAGCCTCAAGCTGTCGCCCTGGGTAGAGTGCTGTGGCATTACAGCTCACAGCAACCTCCAACTCCTGGACTCACGCGAGTCTCCTGCCTCCACCTCCCAAGTAGCTGAGACCACAGGCGCCTGCCACAACGCCCGGCTATTTTTTGGTTGCAGCCATCATTGTTGTTTGGCGGGCCTGGGCTGGATTCAAACCCGCCACATTAGGTGTATGTGGCTGGCGCCTTAGCCACTTGAGCCACAGGCGCTGAGCCGACATGTTTAATTTTAAAAGTAGCGTCCAAATAGAGACTTCTGATAGGCCTTTGGCATGTGGATTTGGGGACTCAAAATATCTTTTTTTGTCACCCTGGGTAGAGTGCTGTGGTGTCACAGCTCACAGCAACCTCAAACTCTGGGGCTTAGGTGATTCTCTTGCCTCAGCCTCCCGAGTAGCTGGGACTACAGGCACCTGCCACAGCACCCAGCTATTTTGTCGTTGTAGTTGTCATTATTTGGCAGGCCCGGACTGGATTTGCCAGCTCTGGTATATGTGGCGGGTGCCCTAGCCGCTGAGCTATAGGCACTGAGCCTGGGGTTCAAAATATCTGAGCTAAAAATTAAACTTTAGGAGTCAAATCTGGAGGGGTGATCTGTTGACTTGGACAATGATGGTTACTCTTCGCTAATTTAGCTGTGCTGTCTCTCCAACAGCCCACACCTGTTAAACCAAACTACGCTCTAAAATTCACCCTTGCTGGCCACACCAAAGCAGTATCCTCCGTGAAATTCAGCCCAAATGGAGAGTGGCTGGCAAGTTCATGTATGTAGCAGACACTTCAGCTACTGGGGGAGTTGGTCTGAGCTGCAGACAGGAAACTGGGAAGGGGGTGGCATGCTTTCAGACACTGCCACTGAGGTGTTACAGCAAGCAGTGTGTCCCCTAGCAGGGACCGTGGGGCAGTCAGTGCCTGTTGAAATTGTGCCAATTGCCCCTGTAAAGTGAGTGGGCCCTCGGGGAGGGGGAAAGGGGCTGGCCGTTGCCGCACGTGGCCATGCTGAATGGGTTCTCACGCAGTTCACTTTATGCAGGTTGCTAGGGCTCGTGTGGGGGAAGCCCACACTTCACTCTGGGTGGCTGGGCACCCATGTCCCGCTCTGAGCCTCAGCTCCCTTTTATTTCTTTCAGCTGCTGATAAACTCATTAAAATTTGGGGAGCATATGATGGAAAATTTGAGAAAACCATATCTGGTCACAAACTGGTAGGTTCTAACTGTGCAAGGCTAAACGGACTGTTGACAGGGTGGTCCTGTCATCTAGTAGGGTCAGGCCCCTCTTGAGGGCCAGGTGTTCACATGTGAGTTTTCTTTTGTGTTTTCTTATAGTTACAGGCTTCTTGTGGGTTTGGGTTTTTTTTGTTATTTTATGTTATTAATTTTGTGAGATAGGGTCTCGGCGTGTCATCCAGGCTAGAGTGCAGTGAGTCATTACAGCTCACTGCAGCCTGGAACTCCTGGCGCATGCAGTCCTACTGCCTTAGGCTCACAGAGTGCTGGGACTACAGGTGTGAGCCACTGGCCCGGCCCCCTTATGTGTTTAGTGCAAATTCTTTTGACGTCCACAACCACGTTTCTGGCACCTGTAAGGCCTGGCAGAGCCATGGAGAGCCTGCTTGTTCTCTAGGACTGCCGTGTCTTCATACCAGCCAGGGAACTTCTGAGGGGATTGGTTTGAGTTTGGGATTTTGACCTTTGCTGGCTGGCATGTCTTCCCAAGATGGTAACCATGTTTTTTTTTCTCCCAAGGGAATATCTGACGTAGCCTGGTCATCAGATTCCAACCTCCTTGTTTCTGCCTCAGATGATAAAACCTTGAAGATATGGGATGTGAGCTCGGTGAGCACTTGGAGCTATCGATGGGCGTAGTGGGGGCTGGGATTAAGGGACTAACTTAGTCTAATATGTAGTACTACTCTGTTTTAGGGAAAGTGTCTGAAAACTCTGAAGGGGCACAGTAATTATGTCTTTTGCTGTAACTTCAACCCCCAGTCCAACCTCATCGTCTCAGGCTCAGTAAGTGTGGCTGTGTGACTTCTCTGTGGGGTGATGGTGGGGTGTGGGTTTGGTGTGTTTCATGCACAGGACTGTGGGGACGGTGGGTGGGCAGGCACCACGTCCCTACTGTGTTATTGGTGGGGAGGATGAGGAGGTAGCAGGTCTTAGGTGTAGGGTATCTTGTGTTCCCCCCCTTCCTGTGGAATCACTTCAGTTTCCTCTTACGTCTTCAGTTTGATGAGAGCGTGAGGATATGGGACGTGAAGACAGGGAAGTGCCTCAAGACTTTGCCAGCCCACTCGGATCCAGTCTCAGCCGTAAGTTCCCTGGACACTGGACGTGGCTCCTGTGCAGCTGATTGTTGTTGTCATACAGCAGTGTGGATGATGAGCAGAGAGCTCACAGTCCTGTGTGTAGTGAGGGGATGGTTAGATGCCAGCAGGCGGTCCTGTGGCGAGGCCCTTAGTGTGGCCTGGGAGACAGGTGGCCCCACATGTTCGGGGAGGTGCCCCTGGAACTGACGTTCCACATAGAAAGTTTGGCAGCCTGAGGGTGTTGGGGGCGTGAGAGCACAGGGAAAGTGCGGGCAGTGCCGCTGGTGTTGGCGGAGGGCTGACCAGTCATGGGTGGGGCTGTTGGAGCCTTCTGGAGAACATCTGTGGACACGCCCTGCCATTTTGTAGATGCCATCCCCAGCCTGCAAAACAGGTGGACAAGAGTTAAACTGCACCATGTCACAAATTCCTTCTTTTGAAAAAATGGCCGAAAAGTTCCTTTGTTAATAAAGAGCCTAAATTGGTTTCTTAGCCAAACTTTCCTTTTCTGAGAAGTAGAAGGAATCATGGGTGAACGGTTTGTTCCTTGTTGTCCAGCAGATAACGCTCTTCATGTTCCAGCATCCTGGTGGTGTGTGATCATAAGCATTTTTACCCTTGGAAGGCTTTTTCCTGGAGGAGACACCAGGCAAAGCCTTGGTGTGTACAGAACAGAGAGTGTATCTGGGCTGAGGCAGGGTCTTGGGGTCTGGGACCTGCTAGTGGGAAAAACTATTTGCTGTGGAGTGATACCATGCAGGCCTGGCCCTTGTGAGTAGTCTCCTGCCCTCCAGCACAATTGGGGTCACTGAGCAGACCTGACTCTCACACTTGGGGTGAGGAACCCAGGAAAGGAGGTGTGATGATGGCTCTGAGCTGAGAGAGAGAGCTCTGTGAGCACCCTAGTGGTTGGGTGGTGCAGGTGGGACTCCCAGATGATGGTAGGATCGTAAATGTCTTTGTCCTGCAAAAGTAATGTTTACACAGTTAACAAAATATCAAGGCCCCGTTCTAGCACTCTGGCCCTTGGGCATTGACAGTGCTGACATTGAGGTGAGTGGATTGCCTGGGCTCAGGAGCTTGAGACTAGCCTGAGCAAGAATGAGACCCATCTCTACTAAAAATTCTTGGGCACTGATGTGCTGACATTGAGGTGGGTGGATTGCCTGAGCTTAGGAGCTTGAGACTGGCCTCAGCAAGAGTGAGACCCATCTCTATTAAAAATTAAAAGGAAAACCACACACACACACACACAAAACCTAGCCAGATGTGTTGGCTGGTGCCTTTAATCCCAGTTATAGGGGAGGCTGAGGCAGGAGGATTGCTTGAGCCCAGGAGTTTGAGGTTGCTGTAAGCTATGACGACACCACTGTACTCTCTAGCCCAGGCAAAGTCTCTGTGTCCAAAGGGGGGAAAGAAAGGGAAAGTAAACACAAAAAGGAGAAAATGAGAGTTTCCCTGGCTCCTCCGTCTCTGTCAGCTGCCAAGAGGTTGGTCAGTCCCTCTGGGTCTTGTTTTTTATAAAAGGTGTATTTTCCAGTCTGGCTCATTCTTGTTTGCTCTTTAAATGATGGTGATGTTACCTACACCACAGCCGCTGTCACCCCCCTTCAGAGAGGTGTCTTGGGTGTGTTTGATGTCAGCGCATCAGTCCCCATGGGCCACTGGTCGGGTTGCTTTGTGGGAGGTAACATTGCCACTGGCCTCTTGAGTGCTTGTGTGCAATTTTTAGTTTTACAAAAAGGAGTGCAGTGAACACGCTGTTTGCGTGGCTCTGCCTGGTTACGTGGCGGTATTTGCAGGGTGACTTGTGGAAAGGGAAATATGGTGGTGTTATGTACATTTAGTTTTTTTATCAGGTATATTTGGAACTTTAGAGACTTCAAGGCAGGTGGGCACTTGGCTCCCTGCCTCCTGTCACTGCCCACTGCTTTGGTCCAGGCCCTGTCCTCTTTTGCTTCTCTGACCCCAGCATCTGCGGCCTCACCCCACGCTTGGCCCGAGGGCACACCTTGCTCCAAAGCCTCTGCACTCACTCATCTGCCCCAGGGCACCCGGAGTACTTTTTGAGCTGTGTCTGAGGAGACATCTGTCATCTGCTGGCTTCTGTCTTGTTGGTTTCTTATTTGCTGCACCCATTTCTTGGCTTTCGCCTAGAACGTGCAGTAAGGCTGTGTGGCCTCTGTACCTGGATGTCGGTTGAATGGAAAAGGCAGGCTGTGTTTGCTGGTGGGTGGCATTTGAACAGGCTTAGGAAGCCAGAGGAAAGCGAGGTGTGGGATTGGCATTGTGAGTTTGGGGGCCCGTGTGGACTCGTTGCCATCCAGCATAGTGGCTTTGCTAAGGGTGTGTTAACAAATGTAAGGGATGAACATGGTTGGATGATTGCTGTGAGTTAGAGAGCCTCTAACCTCTTTGAGAGGCTGATGACCAGATGGTTACAGTTACAGAGCATCCTGTCAGTAGAGCTGGGGGGAGAGGACGGAGACAATTACAGGCTCCCCAGGCTCTCAAATATCTCTGAGAGCGTCTTTGAGAGCCACACTGCCCAGCATGAAGCATAGTGACAGGCACTGAGGGAGACGCACTTTCAGACTTTAGAGAGCCAGCATGGCAGAGGGATGTAAGTTTCCTACTAATGATGTCTGATACTATGTGGTGAAATAATATTTTAGATATGTTGGGTTCAGTGCTATTAAACTAATTCCAATTGGGTTTTGCTTCTGATACATCTGCTGGAAGGCTTACCATACACCTGGCCACCGGAGGACAGCCTGGCACTTCTGCTGTGGGCCCCAGGCCAGCAGCAGCAGGAGCCCGTTTGATTTGTTTGTTTTTTGTTTTTTAGAGATAGAGTCTCACTTTGTCATCCTCTGTAGAGTGCTGTGGTGTCACAGCTCACAGTAACCTCCAGGTCTTGGGCTTAGGCGATTCTCTTGCCGCAGCCTCCAGAGTAGCTGGGACTACAGGCGCCTGCCACAACGCCCAGCTATTTTTTTGTTGCAGTTTGGCCGGGGCTGAGTTTGAACCTGCCACCCTCCGTATATGGGGCCAGTGCCCTACTCACTGAGCCACAGGTGCTGCCCTGGGAACCCGTTTGAAATGCACATTGCTGGGCCCTAGACCGGCCACTTCAGAAGCTGTGGGGTGGGCCTGCCTTTCTGCTTCCAGGCTCTTGGGGACTCATGGTACGTGCACATGTGCGCGAATAGCAATGACTAGACACAGTTTTGGTCACAGCTAGGTGGCTCCTGGCATCTGGAGAGTAAAGAACAAGGCTGCTGTTATACAGGATAGCTCCTCCCAGTACAGAAGAGCCTGGCTTCCGATATCGTACTGCTAAGGATGAGAGATTCTGGTCTGGACGGTATATCAGCCAGATGGCCTCGGGCCCACCTGAATAGCTAAACAAGGGCTTCCTCATGCAGCCTGATCTCACTTAGGAAACGTTTCACTCATAGCATGAAATCAGACAGTTTCCACAAGGTGTGGCTTGTCCGTCCCATCCTCCCATGATGCCAATAGAAATGATTGAAATTGGTGGTGATCTTTAGCTCCTGATGTTGTGACTACATTTACATTTATTCCCACTAAGATCCAGTTAGAAAAAATAATAAAAATAAAAAAACCAGGTAAATCAGTTGTGAGAAAGGGTCTGTTGTTAGGTTGCAATTTCTTTGTGTATCTCACCTGCCCCATGGGAGGGAGTTAGCCACCTCGACAGGTCAGTGTGTAGGGACCTACTGCAAATCAGGAGTCCCACCTGTTCTGAGGTAGAAGGTCTGTAGCAGCCTGGATCTCATTTCCCTCTCACCTGGGAAACTGGAGCTGGCCCTCCCACTGGTTAGTGCACACGGCCTCTGTGACCCAGCTGTCTGGGCCTTCGGTTCCCCAGTAGCTGTCAGTGGGCGCTTGAGATGTGAGTGGGAAGGCTCTGGAGATCTTTTCTTGTGATGGCAACTGAACAAGATGATGTTTGGGTCCTGATTTTTATCATTTCTTTTCACTGTTAGCCACGTGGACCTTGTCAGACTGGCCTCACAGTGTGGCAGACTGGCAGACATTGAGGGTGCCCCTCCTGTCACGAAGCCACATGGGACTGACCCGTGGTGCTGGTTTTTTCTTAGCACTGCATTTCATGGCTTTTAAGTGATTTAAACACTCAACACATATTTTGAGGTTGATTTTCTTTTTATGGTGTGGTCATCCATCATAAACCAAACTGCTTTAGACAGCAGGCAAAAATGTCTATTTGGATGTGTATTTGGCATCCATGTCTGCAGGTGTTCAGCACATCTGTGAGTGAAGCACACAGCAAAGGCTGAGTGGCTGAGGTGCGCACGAGGGCACGTCCTTCTGTGTACGGGCGAGTAGCGGGGCAATGTATGTGGAGAGCAATCTGTTGATGGCTTGAAAGTAAGTTTCTTTTTTCCTTTCTCACTCATTAATTAGGTTCATTTTAATCGTGATGGATCCTTGATAGTTTCAAGTAGCTACGATGGTCTCTGGTAAGTGAGAAAACTTTACTTCACTTATTCCCCGGATACTTAATAACAGTGCTCTTGCACTTGGTCTGGCCTTTGGAGGTTCAGCAGTGAAAGAAAGAGATGTATGTTCCCAGCATCCAGAAGTTAACGCTCCAACAGGACTACAGACACAGCAGGTACACACCACGGTTTCAGGAGGACTGAGGGGTCAGTGTTGGCTGGGAGAGCCGCCTCCGTCAACCTCCAGCTGCAAGTAAGCACAGATGTGTGCTCTTATGTTCTCTTATGTGCTTCTGGACTCTGTGAGGTGAAAGGTATCAGATACAGGAGGGGTTTGAGATGGTATCATCTTGCCCATTAAAGAAGCATGAGAGCCTGAACAGGTGGATCAGAACAGATCCCGGTGTAAGGAGTGGGAGGAGGCAAAGGGGACGTGGTCTCTGGTAGAGTCCCAGTTAGGTCTGCATGGACAGTGCTTGTATAACTGGGAGACTGTAGCATGTGCGTAGATCTTCAGGAGACACAAGGGAAGGTAAGAAAGTAAATGGTTAAATTCAACCCAGGAGCATTCACGATGGGGCCAGTGTGGCAGTGAAAGCATTGGGTTGTATTTTGGGTGTGGAGGGCTTAGCATCTCAGCATGTTCAGGTGTCACTAAGGGAAGACAGGGACTGTGGCAGCCATCAGCCAAGGGGAAGACTAGTGGGGCTTCCTGGTCTGGCTCTGGAATTTCTCAAGTGGTAATAGTCAGCCTCCCAGGCAGAGGGACGTGTGACAAAGCAGGTGGAATTTATGGGAAAAAATCAGACCTCTGCACCAGGTGACACAGCAGCCAGAAGATACAAGATAAAGACTAGGGCGGCGGCCCCATATGCCCAGGGGTTCAAGCCCAGCCCCGGCCAAACTGCAACAAAAACTAGCTGGGCATTGTGGCGGGTGCCTATAGTCGAAGCTACTCGGGAGGCCGAGGCAAGAAAATCGCCCAAGCCTGGGAGTCAGAGCTTGCTGTGACGCAATGGCACTCTACTGAAGGCAATAGAGACTCTGTCTCTAAGGAAAAAAAGCAAGATAAAACTAGAAGGATAATGATTTGATTTTTTTTTTAGACAGTCTCACTTTGTGGCCCTTGGTAGCTCACAGCAACCTCCAACTCTTGGGCTCTCCTCAGCCCCTCAAGTAGCTGGCTACGTGCATCTGCCACAACGCCCAGCTGTATTTTTTTTTTTGTTGTTGTTGCAGTTGTCATTGTTTAGCTGGCCTGGGCCGGGCTCAAACCTGCCAGCCTCAGTGTATGTGGCTGGTGCTGTAACCACTGTGTTATGGGTACCAAGTCTAGAAGTATAATTATAACTTGATTTAAATTTTTTTTTTTCTTGTTGCCCTCAGTAGAGTGCTGTGGTATCGTAGCTTACAACAACTTCAGACTTTTGGGCTCGAGTGATTCTCTTGCCTCCACCTCCTGAGTAACTGAGATTATAGGGACCCGCCACAATACCCATCTGTTTTTAGAGGCAGGGTCTTGCCCTAGCTCAGGCTGGTCTCGAACTTGTGAGCTCAAGCAATCCACCACCTCAGCCTCCCAGAATGCTGGGATTACAGGCATGAGCCATCATGCCTGGCTGATTTAAATTTTTTTGTGTTTTTAGTATATTCCTTTAGACTTGGACAGAAGATGACTTAGGACTTGGCAAATCTGAGTGATACTATTAGCTATTTATTTATTACATATAGAATATATTGTATATCACAAACAGAAATTGGCTATTTTGACTTGGTGCCTGTGGCACAAGTGGCTAAGCCGCCAGCCACCTACACCTAAGGTGACAAGTTCGAAATCAGCCCGGGCCCACCAAACAACAATGATGGCTGCAACCAAAAAAATAGCTGGGTGTTGTGGTGGGCGCCTGTGGTCCCAGCTACTTGAGAGGCTAAGGCAGGAGACTCTCTTGAGCCCTAGAGTTGGAGGTTGCTGTGAGCTGTGATGCCACAGCACTCTACCCAGGGGGACAGCTTGAGGCTCTGTCTCAAAAAGAAAGAAAGAAAGAAATTGGATATTTTGTAGTACAAATTTTATTTAACAGTTAACATAACTCTTCTAAATAAAAATCAGAAGCACCTTTAAAGCTTTCTTTAAAGCTCTGCAGGTGAGGGCATGCACTGTGGGGCTGTGAAGGAGCCTCACCTTGACATTCTGACTGTCCTGGAGGGTCACATTCTGTAGTCAGCATGCAGGTCCTATTGTGAGTCCTGGCTAGATGAGTCTGGAGGGGAAGTCACTGCAGGTCAGGGTTGTGCCTGGTCCCCAGCCTTTCCACAGACTCTGCAGTGTGCATGTCTGGGCCATGACCTTCAGGGTTTGAGCTCTAATTTCAACACCGTGAGGGTGTTTGGGCCTGAAGTCAACAGGGTGCTGTGGCACAAATGAGATCACGGGGCCCTGTGCTGGCTAAGGTTAAAGGCGTAATCCTTACTTGACCATTCACCACTTTGTTATAAAGAGTATTGCGGCTCAGCGCCTATAGCTCAACCGGCTAAGGCGCCAGCCATGTACACCTAAGGTGGAGGGTTCGAATCCCCAGCCCGGACCCGCCAAACAACAATGACGGCTGCAACCAAAAAATAGCCGGGCGTTGTGGCGGGCGCCTGTGGTCCCAGCTACTTGGGAGGCGGAGGCAGGAGACTCGCTTGAGCCCAGGAGTTGGAGGTTGCTGTGAGCTGTAATGCCAGGGCACTCTGCCCAGGGGGACAGCTTGAGGCTCCGTGGTAAAAAAAAAAAAAAAAAAAAAAAGAGTATTGCTCAGAAATAGCAAGGGGAAGAGATGCCCAGGGCAGGTGCACAGCACGGGGTGTGAGCTGCCAGCCTCACTTGGCACCTTGTGTTCACTGACCTGAAAGGTTGAGATATTTTCTTAAGAGCTTGGAGCAGTTTCAGAATCATTTGTGGACTTGGCTCTCAAAACTTTATAAAGAAAGAAGAAAAAACCAAAGAAACTGGGAGGAATTTATAAAATTAAAATTAAGGTATATTCTTTGATAAGGCTAATAGCTAAAACTTTTACAATCCCAGTTATGGGAAAAGCAAAAATATTCAAGGTTGGAAATAGAAAGGGGGTGGGAAAGCTGTAAGTTGAGGGGAGGACACAGGCAGAGGAAGTGCTCACTGTCCACCTGTGCGGCCTCTGCGCTCTGGGGCAGAGGCCGTGCACATTCCTAAACTCACCTGGAGGTGGGACTGCAACCAGCCAGTCACCCTGAGAAGACTGGGAAATGGGATTGGGATTCTGAACATACTGGTCCCAGTGCTTTATACTTGAGTCTGTTAAATCACGGGAACTTGTAGGACCACCTACATTATTCTGGGTAGGATGAGACGAGGCCCCCAAATTCATTTCGTGGATCTGGCATGATCCTGCTACCTGAAAGAGGACGCTGACTCAGAAATATTGTGCCAGATTCCAAAGAAAATACTAACAAATTCAATCCAGCACATGAAAAAGTCACATTCATGGCCGAGCAAGTATATTGAGTAATGAAAGGATGATAGTAATAGGAACATCAAGAAACCTACAGTCTGTGTCAACAAATTAACAGCAAAGATTCACTAATTTATCAGGAGCGGTCAGAAGGCACCTGATTATGTCCAGCAGCTAATCCCAGTAACCTTTGCGGAATAAGCCAGTACTGCTGACTACATGCTAAAACTAAGGACTTACCTAATAGATGGTGACAAGCTAAGACTATTTTTGCTAAAATCAGGAGCAAAACAGCCCTGTCTGTTTGCTGTTACTCAGTGGTGTTGGGAATTTCTAGTTAACGTGATAAGAAAATGAAAATGATTGTAGGAAGATTGTATAGAAATAGCTCTTTGTAGATGGTATGTTTCTATGTCTTAAAAATTTTAAAACTCACCAATGTTGCTTTTCAAATCTTTACCCGTTCAATCCTATGATGTGTGAGTACTTGGCTGTCACTGTCCCTACTTTTTCAGGCAGCAACAAACCCTTGCTGGTTGTCCGTCAGCTGGTAGTGACAGACCAGGACATAGACCATGTGGTAACTCTGAAATCTGGGCTTAGGACCACCAGGCTGTGCTGGCTACAAAGTGATCCTGCCTCTGGCAAGATCAACTCTCAGAAAGTGGCTGTTTTTCCCTGTATGGTTAGATGGGGAAAGTTCAACCGGTGTAATACTGACGAAGATGCCAGGAGATCCAGGATGAACCCACAGAGAAAATGAGAAAGTCTAACTGAAGGGCATATGCAGAAGGGTTTAAGGCTTGGGAGACAGTTGGGTGTCCACATCCTGGGTGGTGGCTGCGTGCCAGCCGTCCTGAATTGCTGCTGTAAGGCGGTGCCCTTTAGAGTCCCTCTAGGGCAGTGGTTCTCAACCTTTCTGATGCCGCAACCCTTTAATACAGTTCCTCATGTTGTGGTTGGGGATCCCCAACCATAAAATTATTTTTGTTGCTACTTCATAACTGTAATTTTGCTACTGTCATGAATAGGAATGTAAGTATCTGATATGCAGGATGTATTTAGGTGACTCCGGTGAAAGGGTCATTCAACCCCCAAAGGGTTGCAACCCACAGGTTGAGAATCGTGGCTCTAGGGTATCTGTGGAACTAGGCTCAGTAAACTTAGGGTCCCCAGAGAAGCATGTGGAACTGTTTGCTGTGAGACTCGAGAAAAGGAGAGTGACTGGCATGTTGCCGCTTGCGGGTTTCAAAGCCTGCAGCACACAGTGTGGTCTGGTCCCCAGCACATCTGCGTGGGGTGGGTGGGACAGAAGGAGGCTCAGAGGTGAGAGTGCTGCAGGGTCCGTCTAGCATTCGGGAGCCAGTAGGGCCGGGGCGGCATCAGTGCTGCCAGCTCAGGGGAGGACAGATGGACAAAGAGACGGGGACAAACTGTCTCTTCCAAGCCTGCACCCCCACTGCTGGGAATCTGTGCCCTAGACATGTAGATGCTCGCACTCAGGGGCTCTGCTTCCAAAACATGTCTTTTGGTTAAAAATGACAGAAACCCTGAAACTGGAATGATGGAAGTGCCTGGCCCCTCTATCCTGGGAATGGTGGTCTTTGAACATGTTTTCTTGCTACTAAACCAAAGGGATGTTGGAAAGTTGCATGTAATACTCCTACATTTAAAAAAGGCTTCTCCCTTGTAGCTGCATCTTGAGCATGTCTGTGTGGGGCTGTTGGCACCCCTCACCTTGGCCAGAAGGGCAGGGAGGTGGGTGGTGCCCCTGGGGGAGACATCTGTGGCCTTGGTAGCGTGTGTGGACTGTGTTTGTTCACACTGCACCCCAGAAGGTTAAGAGAATCTGTTAACTGGAACCTGGAAACGTGTGCCTCTCCTATTACCTGCCTCTGAGGAACAATCACCCTCACTCGGAAACCCACTTCCCTGACTGTCTTGTTCTTTTTGCTTTGAAGTCGCATCTGGGACACCGCCTCGGGCCAGTGCCTGAAGACACTCATCGGTGAGTGCTGTGCTCTGCTTCAGGGTCTCTCGTTCTGTTGTTTACTCTGTGTCTGGAGGTGCCAGGGAGGATACCTATGCTCTTTCCCACCCTTACTCTCTATCACTGTCCTGGAATCCTTCCCTTTCTTGGTTCCAGATCTGTTCCCTTTGGGAGGAATCTCCCTTCTTTTCCCATCGTCTCCCCCCCTGCCCCCAGCTGCTTCCTGACTGCTAAGTTTGGGGGGTGTGAGTGCATACACAGGTCTGTGCTGTCCAGGTTGCTGTACCTCTTTGGGCTGTTTGTGCTCATTGGCTTTGGGGCCCTGCTGTAGAGTTTGCCTCTAGGATAGTTCCTTGAGCTGAACTCCTGTGGAGGAGGGTGCTGCCTCCCCCGTGGGAGCTACTGGTGAGGTGGGAGCAGGAATGGACCTGGGGGATGAAGAGGGGAAGGAATGTGTGAGATGTGGCCCAGGCAGCTGGACGTGGTGGATGTGTGGCTGGAGGGCAGGTGATGGGCCTTTGGGATGCCATGGTGGGGCTCTCATAGGAGAGAGGCCTAATGTTAATAAGAGAGCGATGAGCTTGGGGCAGCCTGGAGGCCAGAGTTCTGGGTACATGTGTAGAGTAGGAGCCTACCCAGGGCACTGCGTGGTGAGGGAGGGAGATGGGACCCCCTAGAGAAGTCTGCCTCCTGAGCTCAGCCTCCCTAGTCTGCTAGGTCTGCTGTGATAAGATATGGTGGGGGGCGGGGTGAACAACAGGTATTCGGGTATTTATATTCTCAAGGTCCTAGGGGCTGGAAGTCCAGGACTGAGGTGTCTGTGGGGTTTATTTCTCCTGAGATCTCTCCTTGGCTGGAATATGACCTCTTCCTCTCCGTGTCTCATACAGCTGCCTCTCTGTGTACTTGTGCTCTGGTGTGTCACCCGTCCATATGTCCTCCTTATAAGGGCACTAGCAAGATTGGACTGGGGCCAACCCTAAGGGCCTCATTTTTATGTCGTGTCTTTGAAGGCTGTTACCAAATAGCTTCTGGGTGTTACTGCTTCAACATGAGTTTTAGGGGCACAGGTCGCTGCCAGCAGAGGCCTTTGGGGGCCTCTGTCACGTGTCCACTTTCTGACAGTGAAGTCCTGCTATCAACTGTCCATCAGTATCTCTTGCAGGAGCCTGGTGTGCAGCTCTGCCTGGCAGGATGGTGGCCCCTGTGCTGAGGTGCTGGTGCAGGTGTGGCGGCTGCTGCCCAGTGTCCTGACCCTCATGTTCAAGGGAGCTGATTGCCATCCTGTCAGCATGTAGGAAAAGGTGCTGTCTCAGCCAGAGCTGCACAGTGTGTGCTCACTGCGGCCAGCACAGGGTGGGCTCTGAGGACTGAGAGTGGTTTTCCTGTCTGGTGTCAGCGTGGATCTTCACTAGGCAAGTCAGCTGGAAAGTTCCCAGTTGTGCGTGACCGCGATAGCTTGGCTAGAATGGCAGGACACCTTCACATTATTGAATTAAATGGGCCCATCCCTAGCCCTCATGTTGTCCAGGGCCTGTGGGCGTCACACTGACTTCTGTGCCTTTTCAGTGTGTCTGGCCTTTCTGAGGGAGCGTAGGCCCCGGGTCCCTGCAAGGGCCTTGCGTCTTCCTGGTAATGCTGTGTGCTGCATCCTTGTGGGTGCTCGGGATACACCAGTGCATGCCCATGCCCAGAGGGCTTCTCACAGGTTGGGGATGGCTGGACAGTCCCACACAGGTGCACCTCCTTCACCAGGCAAGGGTAGAACACCTCCTCTTGCCTGAGGACAGTCGAGCATCGTGGCCAAACACTCCAGCCTTTATGTTGGAAATTTCTGGGGGCATTGACTCCTTGTCCACTGTGAGAAAGGGCAGCTGCTCCTCACTCCCAGGACCCCAAGAGCGAAGCTCGTATATCGAGAGTGCCAGGAGCAGAGATGTGGGTGCAGGGCCATGGGGGCTGGGTTCTGAGTTGGAGCAAGGATCTCCTGCTGTGTTAAGCAGGCCGCAGGAGTGTTGGGGTGACTTTCTCAGGCAGTCTCTGCTCCTAGCGGGGCAGTTCCTCCTCGAGCTGGCCATTTGCAAACCCTGTGGTGTGAGGTGGGAACGTCCCCAGTCTCCTCACTCAGGTGCTGAGGTGTCTTTCCTCAGGCCAGCTCCTAAAGTCCCTGGTCAAAGGGGCCCTTGGGGTTGTGGGCCTAAGGTATCAAGAACCTATGCAGCGGTGTGAGTGATGGGTATAGGGGTGTGCTCAGAGCTCTTCGGGGGCTCCACACAGGTGGTGGTGTTGGCACTGATGGCACTGACCCCACTAGATTCCCACTATGGTGATGGGGAGCGGGTCCTGTCCCTCCTGCCACCGGTGCCCACCCGGTATCAGCCTGTGTGTTTTTGATGCAGACGATGACAACCCCCCAGTGTCATTTGTGAAGTTTTCTCCGAACGGAAAATACATCTTGGCTGCCACGCTGGACAAGTAAGTGCCATCGTCTCTGGCACAGGTGCCCTTCCTGCTAGGGACACCTGTCTCTTTCTATCAGCAGGAGACTTTGCAGAGAGTGTCTTACTCTTAGGATACGGCCCTGAGTCCTGCTGGGGCTGTTAAGCCGGAAGGAAGGTGCCCACCATCTGCAGAAGGATTTGGGACCCAGTTTTCTCTTTGAGTGGGCTGTGACCAGGCGGTGGAACCTTCCTGCCTAGAGGGCTGGGTGGGATGGGGGTCCCCAGGGTATCTCTGGTTCTGACCTCTGAGCACCTTGATTTTACCTGCGAGAAAACTGTGGGACAGAGTTTTGATTGTGTAAACTGTCATGCTCCAGGTGGCTGTCCAAGCCCTGGCCTCCCCACAGGTACACTGGGCAGCCCTATAGGGCCACCTAGCCCCAGATTGCCACGTGGCCAGCCTTGTCCATAGTCAGCCCCTGCCGCTTGGGGTTGCCCCAGTTTGAGCAAGAGTGTTGGTGACCTTTGTTCTGTGTGTTTCTGGAACCAAAATGAGTTCCATGTCTCTATGATACTGACTATGACTTGTTCAGGGACTGCAGTGCCCATCTGCTATTCACAAATTCTGTCTTTGAACTACAAATACTTGGGGTTTTCACCTTATGCTCCTGGATGTCATTAAGTTGCTAAACCTTGTGGACCTGGGGCCCTTGCCATGGTGGGGACCCTCACTTTGATGGGGGAGGGGGTTCCCACCCCACTGGTTTTGCACCTTGTGGTTGCTGAGGTGGTGGTGGCAGAGTTGGCCTCAGTGGTGAGGGACACCCCTGAAGCAGCTCTCCCCCTCTGTCTTCCAGCACCCTGAAGCTCTGGGACTACAGCAAGGGGAAGGTGAGCGCCTGGGCACACCTGTCACGAAGGCTCGGGCCTGTGTTGTACACCATCCCTGGTCGTGGTGGCTGACGGTAGCAGAGCTGACCCAGGCAGCCCAGCAGGAGGGAGCCCGGAGAGCCGCCCCCACGCAGTCGGTTTGGTGCAGATTTCTGACAGTCCTGGGGTTTGCAGATTCCAGTCTGCAAGTTACAGCTTTGACTGTGGGCTGGTACATGTGTGTACTTAGGGTAATTTTCAGAACCAGTTAGTGGTAAAGTGCCTGCGCTTAGAACTCAAAATTGTCCAGGACACGGGGGAATTGTGACCTATGACCAGCATGTCCCCTGCTGTTGCAGTGCCTGAAGACATACACTGGCCACAAGAATGAGAAATACTGCATATTTGCCAATTTCTCCGTCACTGGCGGGAAGGTAAGTTCCCCACTCTGAGAAGCTTCTTGTACTTTCCCAGCCACCCTTCCTGAGATGCCGTAATCCTAAGATTGCTTTAGGCTCTTAGTGATGCGTTTCAGTGCCCACAAAACAAATTATTTTCTGTTTGAACCAAAGCAAAACCACACTGTCCCAGATGTTGGTGGGGCGTTTGCCCGCGTATACTGGGGACGCCTCCCCATCTGTTTCTAGACCCTCTACCTTTTAATGGGGACAAGAAGTCTGTTGTAAGACTGTGCTCGGATGGGTGGCTGACACCTCCTGTCAAGTCTAGATCTGGCTGGTGTAGACTTTCTTGCCTACCACCTGGTTTCCATGCTCGGGTCTTGCTTTTATCCTCGGTTGAGGGGAGACTTGAGAGTAGGGCTGATGCTTGGCTGAGATGCGCATGACAGAAAAGAAGCACTGAGAAAACTTAACTTGAGAAAACATCTCTGGCCTAGAAGCCTTCCCTGGCAGATGGGGCACTTGGGGTTCTCTGAGTGTGGCCGCATTGGGAGGAGGCAGCCTTGGACTGGAAAGGAAGACAGCAGGCTTTAGCGGCACCAGGACGGGTGTGAAACACAGTGGAAGAGAACTTTGTGGTGATACTGGCCCCTCTGCACATGCAAGCTCTGACCTGGCTTTCCTCACCCCTTTGTCTTCACTGCCTGCTGCCCAGTGGATTGTATCCGGTTCGGAGGACAACCTGGTTTACATTTGGAACCTTCAGACAAAAGAGATTGTACAGAAATTACAAGGCCATACAGGTGAGCGCCTGTGTCATGGAGTCGCACGCCACTCGCTGGTTTGACGGTGGCTCCTGAAGAAAGATGTGTGGCCTGCCTGTGGCTTGCCAACTGCTCCTCCTCTTCTTCCTCTGACCTCTGGTGTCCCCCAAATTCATGGAGCTGGTCAGTGCTGGTCCTGACCAGAGCCCTGCTCCTGGCTTTACTCTCCCCTTCTGTCTTGCCTGGTGTCCTGGTTGGAAAGTGTGTGAGGCTCTGTGCCTGCTCAGCTGGGTGAGGCCTAGGCCTCAGTCTCACTTCCTGGCAGGCTCTGTTTCCTTAGCCATCTACTGCCCAGTGTGGGACGCCCTAGCTCCTTTTGGGGACCCTGATCCCCACCTCCCAGGCAGTCCCTGGCTTCATGCCTATGAAGGGGGCTCCTGCAGGTTCCTGGGCACCTGGGGATGGCGCTCTTGGTCCTGGCCGCCCTTGAAGGCTGTTGCTGCTCTCTCACTGTCTCTCCCCACACTGGCACTTTGGAGGCTGAAAGAGCAGGGGTGCTGCAGCCCTGTGGGATTCTAGCCTCTTCCCTAAGAGCATCAGCCTCACTGGGTTGGGAGTGGACTGACATCCTGGCCTCAGAGGCAGGTCTCACTGGGCTGGGTTGCCTGCCGCACCCTTCACCCCAGCAGGTACAGCACTTGGACATGAGAGAGTTGTAAACATGTGGCATGGCTGACCTCACGGGCCAGCTCCTCAGATGGGACGTCTTTGCTGAGGGATTGACATGCCTTTGAGTACTAAAGCCAGCCACGCAGCGCACTTCAAGGGGGGTCAGCAGCAGTGGGAGGTGGTGAGAGTGGGTGTCCCTGGGTCCGGCTAAGAGAGGGGCATTTTCCACAAAGAATAGAGGACTGTGGTGGGTTTGACTGTTGTCCCCATGGGAAGCCATTGGTGCTGCAGCATGTCTCCCATGGGCCCCGAGCCCTGCAGAGTCCTATGCCCATGGCTGGTGGTGCCCCTGCAGCCAGCCAGCTCAGGCTGTCTGCTGGCGTCACCTGGGGGTCCTACCACATCTGCCCGGCTGCCTGTGCTGAGCAGGTGGGGGTGGCAGGTGTTTGTTGCTGCCACCAGCACTTCTGAGCACTTGGTCTGAATCTCCTTCATGGTGGGTGGGGGTGAGGCCACATTCTCCTGCAGGCTGGGCATGGGGGGCAGGTGTGGCCAGTGCCTAGGAGAGGGCAGAGCAGGCGGGGCTCAGATACATGGCGTGGGGAGCCCTCTTGACTGTGTCTTTCCTTTTAGATGTTGTGATCTCAACAGCTTGTCACCCGACAGAGAACATCATCGCCTCAGCTGCACTAGAAAATGACAAAACAATTAAGCTGTGGAAGAGTGACTGCTAAGCCCTTGGCTACCCCGAGAGACTGTCGGGACTTGATCTGGATTGGCAAGAACAGTGGGTGTCGAGGATGTGGCCCTGGTCTGGGCCCGGGGACCTGGGCAGGGGCTGACTTGAGCCTTCTCCTCTTTGAAGACAATTTGGCTGAGGGGGAGTGGACCACTGGAAAGTCCTAATTTCCTGGTGACATTTCTTGCCAATTCGTCTAACACTGTCTAGGGAAGTATTCCTAGTCTGTATTGTGTTCAGAGTCAACAAAAATTTTTAATTTTTTATTACAAAAGGGTGAAGTTCAATTTATCATGAGTTGTGTTTTTCCAGTAAATGTTCTGTATCTCTTTTGATATTCTGCCCCATCTTCACCACCATGGCTCTGGCCTGCTGGTCTCTCCCGCCTCATCCTCTGTGGTCCTGGTCCCCTGTCTGTCACATAGGTGCTCTAAAACATGGCTCCAGCTGTTCACGATTCCTGCCTGTCATAGTACCCAGCGTATTTTCAAGTCTTTTCTGGAAACGTAGCATTGTGAGGTTATTTCCATGTAAAGCACCTTTGTGTCCTGGGTTCACAGTTCATGCGCTGATAGCATGGAGATCGTGGTTTCCGTCCCACTGATGTTCAGACCACAAGCAGCAGCACAGACCGTAATAAAAGGAGGGAGTTGTAAATGGTTGTGGCAACTGCGTCCTCATGTGAAGCTTGTCTCCACTTGGCTTTTGTAGAGAAAGCCTCACAACTGGCAAAAGGCTGGAAGGATTTCTCTGGGAGGGCAAGTGTTCCTGGCTCTGAAGACGGCCTTTCCTCTGCGGGGTCACTGTGTGCTAAATGGTGGGAGGAGCAAGGGCTGTTGAGCCCTGGTCTCCCGGGTGGGTCCCTGTGTCAGGTAGGACTGAGTGGCCCCTGGAACGGGCCCTTTGGGGTCAGATGTTCTTCATGAGCCTCACAGCCCCCGCCCCGTCCTTGCTCCTGCATGTCGTGGCTTCTTGGTGCTCAGGTCTGGGGGAGGCAGTGGCGGTGCTCAGCTGCAGAGCAGCTCAAACCCGAGTCTGCTCACAGAGACCTTTGTAGTGGAGGCCTGCTGTGCACAGCCTCCGGGCTGCAGGAGGGTGGCTCTGTCCTGTGAGTACCTGTGGAGTCTATGGTCTGGGGTGTGGACAAACCTGTTGGGCCTTCGGTGGGGTGGGCTCAGGAGAGCCCGGGGGGCCTTATGTGTGGGTGCAGGGCTTGGCCCTTGGCCAGGTCTCCTGGGGGTCCTCTAGTGGTACAGGGTGGGGAACCTGCCATCGAAGGCATCTGGAAATGAGCTGCAGGCAGGCAGTTTCCTCAGCCCGGCTTTTGGTAGATGCATAAATGAGTCACCTGGCCCAAGAAGTAAATTGCTGCAGCAGAATGGGTGGTTTTTTGTCCTTAGCACTCAAGGCCTGAGCCCCTTGTCTCAGTGTCCGATCCCCCTGCTTTGGGACTTGCTAAGGGCCTTGAGGTTCTTCCAGCTCTGGTGTCATTGCTCACTCCTGGGAGGGGATGGGTGAGCTGTGCAGAGCGCTGGATCCCTGAATATAGTTTATTTTTTCTACATTTGAATTCTCTGTTGTAGATTTATGTAAAAATACATTCTCTTTTTGAAAATAAAGATTTTCATGTCTTCTAATTTTGTCTCGTAAGAATTCCTTAACATTCCTAAAACTTGTTTTGGGGAGGGGCTGTTGGTTGATGGGGTTTTATCCCAGGCGCGGGGCTGGGTGGAGCCCCTAGTGTTACTAGCACCATGGTGCTCCCCAAGAAAGGCCTGAATTGTTTTATAGGTACCTTATTATGGAAGTTCCATATTTTTATTAATTACAGTGTTAAGGAGGGAGGCAAAAACAACCACCCAAATTCCTACTACCCCTGATGTTTTGGGGAATATCTTGTATTCATTGGAAACAGACTGATGGAGAGCTTCGAACATCTGAAAGTGAGGAGTGCAACCACCTGTGAGTCCCTGTCTCCCACTGCTGGGACTACAGCGCATTGTTTCGAGTGCTCTGCTACTATTTTTTTTTTTTTTTTTT